TGAGATATCACTGGAAATATACTATCGCGCTTTTTAAACTACAGTAAAACATCACTACACTGTAATGTATTCCACTTTAAACTCCAGTAAAACATCACTACACTGTAATGTATTCCACTTTAAACTACAATAAAACATCACTACACTGTAATGTATTCCACTTTAAACTCCAGTAAAACATCACTACACTGTAATGTATTCCATTTTAAACTACAGTAAAACATCACTACACTGTAATGTATAGAAATTGCTGTAAAAATCAGAACTATTCATGGAAATCAGAATCAAGGCTGCTCCCCCCCCCTACCTCCCCCGATAAAGAAGACGCACGTTACTGATTCAGTTAGAGATTACTTACAGTGTAAAGTGATTCAGTTAGGGTGATTAAAACAGAGATTCGGGGTAGGTAAAAATATTACGGAGAGGGCGCCACGAGTGTACGTTATCTGTTTATATCATATTAGATCTTACCAAACACTACATAATGGCAATTAGAGACGTGAAAATAGTGTAAACAGACGAGCGGTTACGTTACTTGTTAAACATTCACTCCCGTTGATAATGTGACATGTTGAGTCTAGGGCCACTTCTAAAGGAAAACACATTTTTCTTTGATATCCTTGGAAGTTTCTAGCGTACAAAGTTCAGAGCGCCGGACCCTGGGCTGCCATACAAAAAGAGTAGCTACTGTCTACATGCCGATATGCCCCCTCCAGCCAGATGGTGGCACTGGTTGAATGCAGGGGCTAATAGTGGCCAGACGTGCTTTGTTTACCGGCTGTAATTCCCACGGTCTGGGATGTCAGGAAGAGTGGGGGTGGGGGCTTGTAAATGACGCAAGGATGAAGTGGGTAGGACCTTCACACTGTTGTATCTGGTCTTCACTTCATGAACATTTCGGATCAAAAGTAGTTTTCTTGCCACCGCCACCCGTTTGGAAGACTCATATTAACATTTTATCTTTAATATTGTGGAATAAGACAAACAAAACGGGTTTTACTTTCAGGTAATGTAACATTTATTAGTTTCATATAACCGGACTTATTTGTCAGGGGAGTTGTTTGTTTGTTGTTAAGCGCAAAGCTACACGGGTACCGAAACCCGATTCTTTGTGTTATAAACCTCCAGACTTGCCGCTGAGCCACTGGGGACTTGTCAATGGGACTCTTTTTTTTTCAGTCGCAGGTTTATTGGTCACTGTGAGTGTCACAATTTCCACTTCATATCATCAATATTGTACTGCGCGTGACGTCAGTAATATCACCTGCCCAAATATTTAAATGCCCACGACAAAACTTTTATGAAGTCACAGGTTGTTAATTCAGCGGTCCTCAAACTGATCCAGTCTTGCTTTATTTAATCAAATGACAGCTATTGTGGCGTTTAAATCTTTTTAATTATGCCTAATCACACGAAACACAGAATTTTCAATTGAAGGGCAACAGGTAAGAAAATGAAATAAAATAACTTGGAAAAAAACAGAGGTCAAACGCTAGGGGATAGAGTTCAGAAAAGTATAATCCTTTTTTGCTGTTTTTTAAACTTTAGACATATCTATGCTAACACACCCTACAGAATGCTAGGCCTAACTCTATTAATTTAAACAAAGCTAGGCCTAACTTTAATAAGTTAACCTTAATGTATTTTATAGAAAGAAAAGAGAGCTCTCTATTCCCTCTAGTGGCAGAACGCACGAGTTATTTTTAATGGTGTCTTGTCCTCTTCCCCACTGGTCACTGACAGACTGTATCTTAGGTTACACAACTAATATTCGAAGGATTAGTCCTGCTTTCGTAACTCGTGGTTTTAATGAAGAACACCGAAAAGTTAAGCAGTTTTTAGAGGTGGGCCAAGTGTTAAGCATCGCACACAGTTGTTAGATGTAAAATTCATGCAACTAAAATACGTTCTGAAATTCATGCAACTAACAGGGGTTGGGAAATTCGCACAACTATAAGTAGTAAATAAATTCTCAAAACGAAAGGGGCACTGGTAGTTAAATAAGGCTGTTGTCAACAGTGACGTGTTTCCGGATGTTGTCGACAGTGACGTGTATCCGACTTCAGTAAAATGAAAAGATAACTTACTTGCAAAAGGCTTCTCCCCCTGGGTTAGAAACACAAGCCGCTCCATTTTTACACGAATTAGGTGAGCATGACACCAGCCCTGAAATAAAATTAGATGTTTAAGAAAAAGTTTAAAAAGGTTATGTTTAAATCGATCCAAGATTAATATCTATAAACCACAATTTAATCATCTAACAAAAAGCCTTAACTACAATATTGTAAAATTTACCATTTAAACATTAAACATTTCATCCAGGATGGCTAAACAAAAGTAACTGAAGATGAGGAAAAACGGAACATCTAATGTAACAAACTCAAGAAAACCTTTGTGACGTTAATGGTACATCTAATGTAACAAACTCAAGAAAACCTTTGTGACGTTAATAGTACATCTAATGTAACAAACTCAAGAAAACCTTTGTGACGTTGATGGTACATCTAATGTAACAAACTCAAGAAAACCTTTGTGATGATGATGGTAATATGTAAATAAAATTCGATCGGTACGATCCCCTGCACTTCGCTAAACACACGTTCGTCGTTAGGGGCCAAACCGTGAAGCTGAGGTTCTGTGGTTCGAGTACCGTTAGCACCAAAAACAAACACCATAGTCAGCAAAGTATCCACTGTAGTATTCAACAAACACAACAGACAGTGACGTATCCAGTACAGTATTCAACAAACACCATAAACAGTAACGTATCCAGTACAGTATTCAACAAACACCACAGTCAGTAACGTATCCACTGTAGCAGGATTTAAAATCAATATATTAACCTGGCCTCACAAATTGTTGCTCATGACCAGTTACAAACATAGCCACTTCTTATATGTCTTATAGGGGGTGCGGTAGTTACATGACCAGTTACAAACATAACCACTTCTTATATGTCTTATAGGGGGTGCGGTAGTTACATGACCAGTTACAAACATAACCACTTCTTATATGTCTTATAGGGGGTGCGGTAGTTACATGA